TATGATATTACATATTTTTCTCATATACTTATACGCAAGTAATATTAATAGATTATTAAACTGCCAAAACTTCTGCGAAGCAACTGGAGCATTTTAATCGACGATCAAGAAATGGATATATTGCATAAATATAGTAACAAAAGCAAACTATTTACGATACTTATAGCAAGTAAGTGCAACACACATATATCACAAATATTTACTGTTTTTTATGTAAAATCATTTATCATTTTGTACCGTTGATACCAAAGTTATTTAAATTCTTACATTTCTAACATTTATATTAAGTGTGTGTATAAAGATTATTTTGATAAAATAATTGCTTACCTATCTTATTGTATGTGACATCTATGTGTATTTAAGAAAAAGTAATTATTTTCGAGGGTGAGTCAAGAAATTATAAAAATTTCAGTAACTATGTATTCCGGAATTTTTTTCTTCATTGTACTGCAATACGTGCCGAGTATACTCGATATCGTAAAGCCGTTGAACGAGTGTCGTATGCACAAGCTCTTCTTTCAGACGGAATATTTTGTTGATGAGCAGAAATATTTTCATCTTCTAGCGATGCACATTAATATCGGAGTGCTGGTTGCAGCAACCACCGGAGTAGCTACTGAAACGTTCGCATTAGGATACGCGTTACATAGTTTTGGAATGTTTAAGATTGCTAGGTAATCGTCATGTTTTTCAATTCAATTTTTTACTGAGTTTTTGTGTCGCTGTTTTTCAATTTTTTTTTACTATTTAATGCGTTGTACATGACATATGCAGATACCGTATGCAACGTATACTAGATGAAAATTCAACGAAGATACATGAAAGTTTTAGACACAGTAAATGTCACGGTAAAATAATTGATGCGGTCAATGTTCATAGAAGAGCGATCGAGTTAGTATATTTTTTAAAATAAGAATAATAATCTTTAAAGGCGCGCGTTTTGATTCAACAATAACGAGATACGTTTTCTCAATAGATTTTCAAACTTGTTAGTAGTGTGTTTCGGGCGTTCGTATTTGGCCATATTTATACTTATCTTATTTGCGACGAGCTGCAATATTTTCTACGTGAGTACATTGCAGTTTTCAAACTTCAGAGGACTATTTTCACTTACTGAAATAGCTAATTATATTTCTAGCTCTATCGATTAGCAATGCTGGACAAGAAAATAATAGAAATATATAAATCTGTTGGTATAATTTGCTCTATGATTCTGTACATGATTTTTGGCAATTACGTCGGACAGGAGTTTATGAATTGCGACTATAGTGTCTATCGAGCAATGTAAGTAATAAACGCTGTATTCGTGTTTTTATACACGTATGTACATCTTGATTAGAAATATTTTTATATTTACGTAGATGCAACACACCGTGGTACAATGCGCCATTAAAAACGCAAAAATTAATATTTTTTCTGATACAAAAAACCACGAAAACATACAAAGTCGATGCCGGCGGATTGTTTAGTCCCAGCTTGGAAGGTCTCGCCTCGGTAAGAAATCACGTAATTGATCGACATAATTGTCGGTATTTACTTGTGAATTAATAATATACTTGCGATATATACTTGGAATATACTTGCGTGAGAAGAGTCCAATGTTTTAGACAGTGAGTTTGCTTCTCTCCATCGTTACTGTGTTCTGCTCCGCGCAGTGATGACGCCATCTATAACAAGGGAGGTTTTACACTTTTCTGCAGATACGTAATACAATTCCAACTTATATACAAAAAATTTCAAATAAAAAACATTTGTTTCACTTTTCGAGTAAAATAGTGACTATAAAATGACAAGTTATAAATAGTGTGAAAAGTATTGTTGATTATAAACTTGTTTTGTTTAATGTACTTTTTTCGGAATAATAATATTTTTTCTCGTCGGTGATAAGCCCATTATATGAGAAAGGTATTGATAATATACTTGCTTGTGTTAGTTTTTTCACTTATTGTTTTTCTTTTCATTTTTTTTCCTTGCTTCTACTGATTGCGAAGACGCGAAATACATGTAGCTATCGTGCGATAGCGTACTCAAATGTGAAAAGAATTCTGTTAGTTTTTATTGCGCCTGCGCTGGCAACAGAATAACGTTCCGTTTTGATGTAATTGCATAAATTGTAAATTACACCAATTTACTCGTCATATTGCGCTCTGGTAAAAGCGGCAATTTAGTTAGGGTTTTTTTTCACGGGATATACATTGCATCCTTTTCTTTCCTTTTTATTTATTAATTATAATTATGATAAACGGTATACTTTTGTTTCACTTGGATGAAATTGTTTTGTAAAGTCCTAATTACAATATACTTTTCTTCTATTTTCTTTACTGCTATAGTTGTGCTATTGTTACATTTCTTATTTACAACACCTTGTCGCAAAGATAGAATAATTATGAAAATTATACTAGCAAAAAGATACTTTATGTAAGCGCGAGAAAGCAACGTAAGGGGGAAAGTACGTCTATAGACCCCGAGTGTGTTCAGTGATGTTCCGACCGTCATTCAAGATGAAGTTNCCCGATATGCCATACTATAGACTCAACTACATTCTCTTGTCATCGATTGGACTCTGGCCATACACTAATTCCAGCATTAATCAGATACAATTCACGTTGTCAATACTGATATATATCTCGTTTATATCTGTCCAGGTATATATATGCTTTATTTATAAAACAATGGTAATCATCACATTACATGTTTCACAAACAAAGTAATGTATACTGCTAGTTTGTTTATATACGTTTGTGTTCTTTNAGAACATAATAGNTTTTNTTTGTATATATGGAAAAATGTTTTTGATTNTAAACAAATTAAATTACTACAAAGTTTCACACAANAATTGAAANTTCACACATTTGTAACTATAAACNTGTCTCTTTTGCAGTTGATAAAGTTATTTAGTTCAGAGTTTAATCTCGACCTTTTATTGGGAGTGTCATCTATTTGCCTCACTGTTGTAATGTTCGCTGTTAAATATGTTGCTTTTTATGCTGTTATGCAAAATGTGAGTTGCACAGTAATAATTCTTTTCAAATCGTTTTTAATCCTTTTGCTACCATGGCCGACTAAAGNTTGTCGCCACAAAATGCTNACATACCATGGACGACTCGCTGGAAAAGCCGTANAAATAAGTAGAATAACGTAACAAGTTCAATCAACAAACTTTAGCTTGCTTATTGCTGGAAGATCATCCACGACTGATAAATGTTTTTAAGACTAGTAAACCGTAGACTTACTTTCTTTTTACGAGAAATATACACTTGTGTCATTTCACAGCGGTTTGGTTTCGCAGGAAGTCTAGCAGCTAAATCCGCGGGACCGAAAGGGTTAATGTGTAATGAACTTAATTAGAGTAATCCATTAATTAGAGTATCCATTTAGGATATTATNTATGATATTACATATTTTTCTCATATACTTATACGCAAGTAATATTAATAGATTATTAAACTGCCAAAACTTCTGCGAAGCAACTGGAGCATTTTAATAGACGATCAAGAAATGGATATATTGCATAAATATAGTAACACAAGCAAACTATTTACGATACTTATAGCAAGTAAGTACAACACACATATATTAAAAATACTTACTGTTATTTATGTAAAATCATTTATCATGGCGTACCGTTGATACTAAAGTTATTTAAATTCTTACATTTTTAAAATTTATATTAAGTGTGTGTATAAAGATTATTTTGATAAAATAATTGCTTATCTTCTCGCATGTGTATGACATCTATGTGTATTCAAGAAAAAGTAATTACTTTCGAAAGTCGAGTGAGTCAAGAGATTATAACAATTTCAGCAACTGTGTATTCCGGAATTTTTTTCTTCATTGTACTGCAATACGTGCCGAGTATACTTGATATCGTAATGCCGCTGAATCAGTCTCGTATGCACAAACTCTTCTTTCAGACGGAATATTTTGTTGATGAGCAGAAATATTTTCATCTTCTAGCGATGCACATTAATATCGGATTGCTGGTTGCAGCAACCACCGGAGTAGCTACTGAAACGTTCGCATTAGGATACGCGTTACATAGTTTTGGAATGTTTAAGATTGCTAGGTAACCGTCATGTTTTTCATTTTTTTACTGAGGTTTTTGTGTCGCTGTTTTTCATTATTTTTTACTATTTAATGTGTTGTACATGACATATGCAGATACCGTATGCAACGTATACTAGATGAAAATTCAACAAAGATATATGAAAGTTTTAGACACAGTAAGTGTCACGGTAAAATAATTGATGCGGTCAATGTTCACAGAAGAGCGATCGAGTTAGTATATTTTTTAAAGTAAGAATAATAAACTTTAAACGCGCGCGTTTTGATTCAACAATAACGAGATACGTTTTCTCGATAGATTTTCAAACTTGTTAGTAGTGTGTTTCGGGCGATCGTATTTGGCCATATTTACGATTGGTTTATCTGCGGCGACCTGCAATCTTTTCTACGTGAGTGCATTTGCAGTTTTCAAGCTTCGGAAGTCTATTTACACTTACCGAAGTAGCTAATTGTACTTCTAGCTCTATCGATTAGTAATGCTGGACAAGAAAATAATAGAAATATGTAAATCTGTTATTTTAATTTGCTTTATGATTATGTATATGATTATGGGCAATTACGTCGGACAGGAGTTTATGAATTGCGACTATAGTGTCTATCGAGCAATGTAAGTAATAATCGCTGTATTCGTGTTTTTATACACGTATGTACATCTTGACTATAAATATTTATATATTTACGTAGATGCAACACACCATGGTACAATGCGCCAGTAAAAACGCAAAAATTAATATTTTTCCTGATACAAAAAACCACGAAAACGTACAAAGTCGATGCCGGCGGTTTGTTCAGTCCTGGCTTGGAAGGTCTCGCCTCGGTAAGAAATCACGTTATTGATTGATACAAGTATCAATAATTACTTTTGAATCACTTGGATGAGTAGTCTAATTTTGTAGTCAGTGAGTTTGATTCTCTCCACCGTTACTGTGTTCTGCTCTGTGCAGGGATAACTAGCCAGCTATAACAACAAGGAAATTTTTACAATTTTTTGTAGATACGTAATAAAATTCTAGACTTACGCGAAGTTCCATTAGTAGAAAACGTTCGTCGTTATATTTGTGAAATAGAGCAGTCCGTATAAAATAAAATGTAAATAGTGTGAAAAATACTGTTGAACATAAACTTGTTTGTATATGTTTTTTGAAACTTCTTGTTTTTTCTTGTTGGTGACGAGCACATTATTTGAAAGAAGTACTGATATATGTGTTACGTCCTGACCTACGGTTACGATCGGGTCCTAACGGAGGAACGCAACTTGACACACGACACTTTTGTGTATTATATCTCGACACACTGACCTAATGAGATAAGGCAAGCATGCGAGTCGAGTGAGACTGTTCAACGACGTAGTC